TGTAAAGTTAAATAGGGAATTTAATAAACTTTGTTAGGGAGAAAGTTACCCAAGGTTAAAAGTAATAGTTATAGGGGTAATTAACGCTATTAATTGAGATCAACGGCATGGAGGGATTAACTAGTTTGAAAATCATTAGGTTATATTTTATGTAAGGTTTGATTGAAATGATTTATATTGTAGCTTTTGGAAGGGGTTGAATGGGGGCTTGTTTCTTGCGAAATGATGATCTATGATTGAAAAAAGGATTATGGGTTGGGAACGGTTGGTTTGTTTTGGAAAAGGGAGGAATGGGAATAATAGCTGATGGATTTGGGGCCCGACCGGATGGGCTGTTTTGTTGGCATTGATTCATAAAAAATATACTAAATATTGTGATATATTTGAGCAAGGTAGATAGTCCAATATTTGAGGGGAGGGTTGCTGGCCGGACAATTCTTTCGATAAGAACTTGGCTAATTAGGTTAAACACATTGTAAAGTAATAAAGTTTTTACTTAGGGGAATAATTCTATTAACTCATATACATAAGTAAATTAAAGTATTTTCTAATTTATTTTTTACATCTCCACTTTTACTTAATTATTCCATTACTTATTTATTTTCATTGTTATTGTTTTTATTTTTCATTTATTATTGTTTATTTCTATTCATTGTTGGTTTATTGTTAAATTATTATCATTTATTTGGCATTTGAGGCTATGCGAATGTCATTTAATTATTGCATTGGCATTCCCGATGTTTTAAAACTTTTGGCAAATATTTTCTGCAATTAATTGCAATTGCTTGGATTTAGTTTTGTTGGATTTGGTGACAATTGCCTTTGGCTTTGTTTGTGTGGAATTTTGGGGGATGAAGTGGGTCCACCATGGGTTGTTGGAGACTGTTTCGTTTATATGGGATCTGAATTTTCTGATCTTGTTATATTCTTGATTTTGGTTATTTTATGGGATTCCTGATTCTGTTTTCTTTGGTTTAGCCGGGGTAAATGGGGGAGATCGGCGCCCCCCTGCTTGCAACTAACCCGGTTTTTACCGTTCCCTGTTAAACCACGGGGTTGGGCTTCTTTATTGGGGCGCACCGGATAATTCTAGGATTTGATTCGCAGCGCCGCAAGGCGTGGGCCTTCCTGTTGCTGGGAGCGGCCTTGATAATCTAGGATTTTGATGGGAGACGGGAACCGGGGGTTTGCCTTTCCTTGTTTGGTATGAAAAAAGAAAAGAGAGAAGGAAAAATATGAGATGGGCTGGGTCAAGTTGGAGGATAGGGACCGGTCGGCCAAAGTATGGGGATCGGGGCTTCCCCTTGGGTTGCACATGTGAAGAAGGTGAAGGCCCATGTGGGAGGGACGGGCTTCATCCGGGGGTTTTGGTGGGAACTCCACTGACTAATTCACCGTGATGTGATTTATATTGGAAGATTGTTAATAAATTTGTGGATTTGCTTGGTGAATATGCCATTTTGTTTTGTTGCTGGCTGTGTTGGAGCATATATCTAGGTTTCGGATGGGGGACTAGGTGATATATTATACCAAAAATGTGTGAATGGTGTTGTTTGTTGCAATACATTATTATTCATTAATAAAACCTCACACATTCCCTTTTTCAATTTTTTTCAGAAAGTAAGGCCATTTCTAAATTCCCAGTTATAAACTCTTTCCTCATTCCACCGTTTTTAAAAAGAAATTTTCGCTATTTTAGTTAATTTGATCAATTAAATAGATAAATTTGTCACGAGACTTTATATGTATTAACAATCCGTTCAAAAGTTAAACTCCGCAGTTATAGAACTTGTATCTTTAGTTGTGTATTTATTTCTAGGGGATTTGGAATAATTTCTGTGGGCCTGTATTTGATAACTATAGTTTTGTTATTGTAAGCAGGGGAAAATTTGTAAATGTTTTAAAAATTTTATTTTGAGATTAGTCAAAATTGAGATAGCAAATTTGTAGCGTTTCAGACTTACTACGGGCCTCGGGGGCCTTAAGCTTACCTGGGCCCTAGTGCCGGTCCGGTCCATGGAAATGGGTCGTGACAGTAATCAACAATTTTCTTATAGAATAAAAAATTTTAATAGAAATTTATGTGGATAATTATTATTGATAGTCAGCAATTTTCTTATAAAAATAAAAAAATTTTCTATCACCTCCAAATAAAATATTTAAAAATATAATTTACTTAATAAATAGTTAAATTCATTAATAATTTCACTATTTGTACTTGACTCAAATCCATTGAAAGGCCATGTCTTGCAATGCTTATTTGAAAACTTAATAATTTATTAATAATGAATGTAAGTTGAGTACATCATAATAATATTCTTATAGGAATAAGAAATACAAATATAGAAAATTGAAATCTTCTGTTTGGAGATGTTCTTGATCTTGGTAGAAGAGGTTAATCTTCGGGGCAAAAATTGGTCCATTTTCAAATAGGACGATAAAAGAAACCTTCTCAATATTACCCCGAACATAGTTTTTTCGGAAACTTATTCCAAAGCAGAAGAGTTTAATATAACAAACTTTAATGGAGGAACAGACCGCACTACCAGGCTCTATTGGTAAAAGAAACTTATCCGAACTTAAAGATCTGAAGTCTCCAACCAGCACTTACCAGGCTCTATTTTTGGTAAAAGGAAAACTTTTATCCGAACTTAAAGATTCTTGGAAGTTCTTCCAACCACAAAGGCGCAACCAACATCCATCCTTGTATTTTTTTGGAATTGGCTTAGGGGGAAAAAATAAAATCCAAATTAAAACTCCTTCAATAATGAGAAAAACAATATTTTTCATTTGAAAGGGAAGAGGAAAAAAGGAAAAACCCAATAAGAGGGGTATTTAAAACCACTAATATGAGAGGGACTAAATCTAAAATTTGTTCCTTAATATAACAAACTTTAATGGAGGAACAGACCGCACTACCAGGCTCTATTGGTAAAAGAAACTTATCCGAACTTAAAGATCTGAAGTCTCCAACCACAAGCAACCAACAATCCATCTTGTATTTTGAATTGCTTAGAAAAATAAATCCAAATAAAAACTCCTCAATAATGAGAAACAATTTCATGAAAGGAGAGAAAGGAAAAACCCAATAAGAGGGTATTAAAAACACTTAATATGAGAGACTAAATCTAAATTTTGTTCCAAACAATCGTGGGTTTGGAAATTATTAAAAAAAAACTAAAGAAAATAAAAAAACAATAGTAAGGGATGAAAAGAAATCACCACCGACCAAAGAAGGCTGGTTGATGGTGGTACCAAAGAAGGCTGGTTGGTGGTGGTTTAGAAACAAAATTTTGAAGGACACAAAAAAAGAGAGAGCCAGAGAGAGGGAGACGGCTAGAGTTTTTTTTATCCCTTTGGCCCTTGCAATGCTTATTTGACTCATACCCAATTAGCATTATTTATATTATACCCACCAGTATATAATCATTTTATTTTACTACCTCGTTCCATTTTATTTGCTTGTTATTTTTTTTTTGGATATCCCAAAATATTTATAAAGTTTCTAAATTTTTACATTTAAATAATTACTTTTTCCATAATAACCTTTATGATAGTTAATTAAATAAAGACTTTTATTAATATCTAAATGAGTTAAGGGTGACAAAGAGTAAAATAATTTTTGTTGACTAAATTCTTAATATACGTGTTTTGTCAAACTATGTAAACAAAATGGAACGGAGGGAGTATTATATTTAATATAATTTAATTATGAGTTAATCTTTTATAATTTTAATTGATAATATTAATAAATCCCATAAAAAATTTGAATTTATATTTTAGAATATCATTATTTCTAGAGCAAGTAATAGCAAACTGATCTAACTGCTCTTTTTAATCTAAACTGATCTAATTGCTCGTATAATCCAATTATCCTTATTAATTTAAAAGACAAATTCTTTCATTTGTACCAATAAAAAAAAACTTAAAAGAGAAAATTGTAGTTAGATGTTAAACAGATATCTCACACTACCCTTTTTCATTTTTTTTTTTTCTATCAATATTTTTTCCCCTCTCAAACAATCATTTGGATGTTAGGTCAGTTTACAATTATTTGTTCAAACACTAACAAAATCTGCTTTTGAAAGTAACGTCCCAAATGTTCTATGCACAAAACATTTAGATTCATTCCATTTCCATATTGTAAGAGTGACAAGCATAATTTTGAAAGTTAAATACATCATTTTAACTTCTAAATTTTGATACAAAAAAAAGAAAAAGAAAATCTCTGTGATACCCTGAATTTTATTTTTTTATAATAATTTCACGCCTCTTTATATTAGCAATAAAATTTTTTAAGGTTTTTGGCTTTTATTCAAGGTTAATATAACTTTCAAAACTATAATTTTCATATTTTTCAAATATCCAATAAGTATTTAATCCAAAAAATTTTATAAATTGAGGTGTTCAATGAGTCAAATTAAATTATTAATAAGTGCAATTTTATAAGTTGAAGAATCCAATAGATTAAAGTAAAAATCGAGGATGACACGCTATTTTTCATGATTAAGGATGAAAACGGTTCGGTTACCTACGAATTTTGAACTATCCGTATCCATATCCATTTAAAATTTACTATTCGTAATTAGTCCAAACCTGTTTAAATATTTATTTAAGTACCTATATCTGAACCTGTTTCAAAATATTACTACCATATCCATTCCAAACCTGTTTAAAGTTCTCCTTAAACAGTTAGGGTATTAGCAAATTTTAAACTATTTAAACTCGAACTCATTTAAAATGCATTTTGTACTAATAAATGGGCAATAGTATCCACGGGTACCTACGAAGAAAACTGTTTATTCTAGTAGATGATTTGTAGTGGGTATCCAAAGTCTAATACCCATACCCTATCCGTTGTGGATAGTAATTTCACTATCCGTATTCGTCTCAAACCCATTCATTAAACGGATTAGAGCGAAGCGGATACCCTAAAATATCCATCTAACTTCCATCCTAACGTGTAAAGGATGAATTATGTATTAAGCCTGTATTTAAACCCATTGGACTTGCACGAACCCAAAACCCAAAGGAGAAAAATCTTAGACAAATAAGGTTTCGCCTTACCTTATCTGTTGAATAAAAGTTTATCGTCTATCAGCGAGAAGATAAAAGAGAAAATGGAGGCAGCAGGGTTGCAAATGGCACTTCCTATACTGGGAATTGTAGCTGCTGCTGCTGTTACTTTCTATGCCGTAAGCTTTTCTGAGCTAAGTGAGGTATCCTTTTATATGTCATTCCTAAATATTAAAACTTTTAGATTTTCTTTCTTTCTTCCTCTTTCTGTTCTGTTAATTTGATTTTTTTTTTTTTTTTTTTTTTTTCTGATGCTTAAAAAGTTGAGGATCCTTTATATGTTTCATTCCTTAAAAATATTTAAAAAACTTTTAGGATTTTAATTTTTCTTTCTTTCCTCTTTTTCTGTTCTTGGTTAATTTGATTTTTTTTTTTTTTTTTTTTTTCTTGTTGAAGGAAATCTTTTAGGGGACTTGGGGATGGGTTTCAGGAAAATGAAGGTGGGGAGGTGGGAAGGGTTCAGGGGCCCAACTCTCCAGGCTTTTTTTTTTTTTTTTTTTTTCTGTGAAGAAATCTTTTAGGGACTTGGATGAGTCAGAAAATGAAGGTGGAGGTGGAGGTTTCAGGCCAACTCTCAGCTCTAGGGAAAGAAGAGCCAGAAGAAAGGCTGAGAAACAGTCCAAGAAATAAAAATTATAAAGGCAAAACTTAATTTGTAATAATTATTTTTTTTCTTAAACAATTGTTAGATTCCTATAGTGATGAAACGTATAAAACCCATGATATTTCTTATTAGATGTATTTTGAATGGAACAATTAAATATAAAATATTTATTTTATTGACAAATTAATTCAAGTGTAAACAAATACAAATCAACTTTTAATTTATTTTAAGTGTGATAAATTATGTTTATTAATCTCTATTAACTTTGCTTTTGATTTATTGTACTCTTGCTTAGGGTTTCGATTATAAATTTTAATAATTTTGATAAAATTTAGCTGAAATAATCGCTTTAATAATATTAAAAATATAGAATTCTGGAAATTTTTACTTATATTAAGCATGTTAAGTATAGATTTTCAGTAAGTAGAATTTTTTTTATGCCAATAATTTAATAGACAAACGTCTCCAAAATGCATATGTTGGGATTGATTAGGAATTTCCAAGAATATAATTCTGCTTTAGTAGCTATAATTGTAGGCTAATCAAAACTGATGTTTATGGTTTATGGTATAGCAGAGGGAGATATGGATGAAAATGACTGAATATCTGCAAATTTTAAACTATCAAGTAAATTCATTTAAAATTTTAATTTTTATATTCTTTGCCAATTGGATTAAAATCAACTACCATCCAAAAAATCCAATAAAGATTTTGTTATTTCATTTCAGATCCATTTAACATATTCATAAATCTATAAATTTTTAAACTACTCATCCATTTCAAACCTATTAATCTCCATTAATTTTATTTGTTGCATATTTGATGTAATTTCATTTAATATAAAATAAAAGTAAAATTAATCATAATAATGCATTTCAAGTAACCGATTCCTAAAATTTTGGAGAAAAGTTTTTAATATAACATTTAGTGTTTTCAATTTTAGTCAAAATATTTTCGTATATATTTGTATGAATATTTAGAGTTTGAAAGAATATATTATGAAATGTTAGTCTCTTTAATGTTTAATGAAACAATACACAAATGCCAAAATTAAAACAATAATTGAAAAAAAAAAAAAAAAAAAAAAATAGGTCTCTTTAATGTTTAATTGAAAACATACACCAAATGCCAAAATTAAAACATTAAATTGAAAAAAAAAAAAAAAAAAAAGGAAACTTCGGATCTTCAGGGAAAAAAAAAAAAAAAAAAAAAAAGAACTCGTCTTCGAGGAGTAGGAGAGAAATAAAAAGGACAGAAAAACGGAGCAACACCCTTATAAAGGCTTTATTAATTAGGTAGCATGTGCATAACAATTCCAAAGAGATTTACTTTAGTACACAAAGAGCAAAGAAATATGGCAGTTTAGTGCTTTTTCTGTTGAGACTTAAGTTCATTTACCCTTTCTTCTGTTTGCTTCAGTGCCTTTCCATATTTGATAATTAACTGCAACCAAAATATTACAAGCTTCAGTTATTCTTCTACTTCAGGGAGTAGTAATTAAATTACTTCAGACAACACTCAAACCAACTGAACAAGGCACATGACTTTGGAATGGTTCAATATACCAATCCACTAATAAATCAAAATATTTTTTTTAATAGCATAATGCATAAATTTAACCCTCAGTTTTGATCAATTATCGTTGTGGCCCCTAAACTTTGCGGAGAATCAATCATGACCTTGCACTATCACATTTTAATAAAAACTATGCCCCTCAATAAAATGAATTATCAATTTCAGGGATTCAACTATGACCCTACACTTTTATATTTCATTTTAGTGAAAGGCATAGTTATTATTAAAATATAAAAGTGTAAGGTTATAGTAGATTTCCCCACAAAGCTCAAGAGCTACGAGGATAATTGTTGAAAGTTCAGAGTGGAACTTATTTCAAGATCTCAGAAAGAGCAGATACAGGAGCTACCTACACTTCCAGGCATACTCTTGCCGGGCTCCATGTCTTTAATCAAACCGCATTTTCAATTGCCAAATTTTAAGTTTGATTTCATGCTTTATATTTTTTTCTAAATATTTAATTTTATTTAGGTTACTTGACTTTAAAGCTATAAATTATATATGGACACTTAATGCAGCGTAGGCACACACGCAAATATGCACAATTGTTGTCTTAATTTTTTATCTTCACACTTAATAATTAGTTATTGGTTTTGTTATAATTATTAATGGAAGGTTCAGTTCTAATGACACTTTTATCTAAGAGGTTATAGTAGATTTCCCCACAAAGCTCAAGAGCTACGAGGATAATTGTTGAAAGTTCAGAGTGGAACTTATTTCAAGATCTCAGAAAGAGCAGATACAGGAGCTACCTACACTTCCAGGCATACTCTTGCCGGGCTCCATGTCTTTAATCAAACCGCATTTTCAATTGCCAAATTTTAAGTTTGATTTCATGCTTTATATTTTTTTCTAAATATTTAATTTTATTTAGGTTACTTGACTTTAAAGCTATAAATTATATATGGACACTTAATGCAGCGTAGGCACACACGCAAATATGCACAATTGTTGTCTTAATTTTTTATCTTCACACTTAATAATTAGTTATTGGTTTTGTTATAATTATTAATGGAAGGTTCAGTTCTAATGACACTTTTATCTAAGTAAAATGCTGCTTAACCATGGTGTTGATGGGTTTGCTCTTAATTTATTCCTTCCAAACACCTCTAAGTGATGCATAACCTTGTTCTCCCTGAGCACCAGCTTAAATAACATGAAAGGACAGATTTTCTCTTGGTTATTCTAAGCAGTGCAATAATAAATAAAATGGCCACAAAACGCACCTCGTCAACCTCTTCAGGGCTTATTGTAAGTGGAGGAGACATCATTATGTTATCCCCTGCAACTCGCACCAACATCCCATGCTTCTCACATTGTGCTCCAAAATATGCGCCAACCCCTGAATGCCAATTGTTAACAAATATTTATCAACAAGGATTATAAAAAAGATTACATAAATTAGAATAATAGATGAGAAATTGATTAGATGAATGATTCGGTATACTATAATTAGATGATTTTATAAATGCAACACCAGTCCATGGGCAGGCAGCAACTTCCCCCGCATATGTGCGCTTGTTGGATCTCTATTGCTTTTCTTTTTCAATTTTTTTAGCATAAATTAACAAAAAAAAAAAAAGTACAATAATTCAAAATAATTTTCTTTTAGAGAATTGTTTTTTCTTCAACCACCTGAGGAAATTGTTTAAAATTAATGATGATAATTTTATCCCGTCATATAAAAATAGGGAAATTTGAGAACAAATTTTCAGAGAACTGTTTTTGGAGATGTATAACCAGCATAAGAAAAAACTAAAAGTCACTATGAAGAACGGGAACCAAGCATTTTGAAATTATATACTTAAGGCTAGAGGCAAACAGCAAAAGGAGTAACTTGCCCCATTCAGGAGGAAATGGATCATTAGGTGACTTATTGTCGGTAAATTCTGTACCAAGAATCAAGCCAGTTCCCCGAATCTACAGCATCATGAAAATATTACAATATAAGTATATCTTACTTGTATTCTCCACTTTAAAACATAAAGTTAAAATGTTTCAGACAGAGCACATACCTCTCCTATGATGGGACTGTCGGAGAATGCTTTTAAACCATCTTGGAATTTTGGGGCAATTTTACTTACTTGCTCAGGAATGTTTCTCTCCCTGCAAAGTACAGATTTCACTCACAACATTTTTCACGAAAAATTGTCAACCCGAAATATGAAAATGATGCTCTTGTATCATGAATTACCAACCAGTGAACGATCTCAACTAAGGTAATTTACAGGCAAATGGACTACTGATACCATAGTTTATGATAAGAAACCATACCAAGACATACACTATCACTATGCATTAACCACATGGTTTGCTATTTTGAGAATTATAGACTATTGCTTGGTATTTAGGCGTAGTATGAGACACAACATTTCATTGAATCAAGATATTGAGCTGATGTTCCAATTCTATAAAGAAATGCAGAAAGACACATACTTGTATATCTTGAGTGCTTCAATGGCAACCGCACATGATACAGGGTGGCCAGAATAAGTGAATCCATGAGAAAAAGAGCCTGATACAAAAGAGTTAATGTCAAGCACCCTATTGTAACATTGATTGGACAGTATTTTGATGAGTGCATCGACATACCGAGTTTGTTGCTTTGTGAGTGTATAACATCTGAAACTTCTGGGCTAACCATAACACCTCCAATTGGCAAATATGCAGAAGAAAGCGCCTGGAAACCCAAAGCCAGAACAATGAAAAGAAATGAAATAATGTCTTAGGTTGCAACAATGATGTAAATAAAATTTATCCCAACTTACCTTTGCTACAGATACAAGGTCTGGTTTAATGTTGTATTTGTCACACCCAAACATTGTTCCAAGCCTTCCAAAAGCACAAATTACCTACAGTAATCAGAAATAAAGAAAGCAAGCTTCAGTTGCCAGTATTGGAGAGCTTAGACATAACATTCTTGGAAATATGAATAGACATAACATGCTTAGATGTAGTGAGTACCTCATCTGCTATAAAAAGAATGTCATATTTTTTTACAACAGCTTGCACCTGCAAAAGATAAAATACGATCAAATAATTGTAAAGTGCATATAGCCTATAGGCGAGTGAGCATAGAGCTGATAAAGAAAAGAACAAAACCAAGTGAAGAATTCAAATAAATCTCCAATAGCCCAAATAAGAATTCCAAAAATATATGAAAGGGCATCCGCAACACAGAAAATTTTCATGATATAAGCATCACTCGGGGCATTTTTTACTGTCCAAAAATGTCATCTCAAGTATTTCAACATTAGAAAAAGACAATCAGCAATATAGGCATTTTTCACAGCATACGCATCAAAGTAGGCATGTTCCATCTAAAAGGCATCATCTCAAACCCAAATTAGAATTCCAACAACATTTTGAAAGAGCATCAGAAATATTTTAACCATGTAAGCACCAAACCAGGATTTCTATCTAGAAGATTCCATCTGAAGCAAATCATGATCAAGTGACATCTTACCTTTTCGAAATAAGATGCAGGTGGAGGTATCACACCTCCTGCCCCCATGACAGGCTCCGCAATAAATGCAGCAATCTGAAATGAACATCTACCGTAGGTGAGCAACACAAACCAATCCTCCTAGTTCTGCAATGAGTTTCCATATAAGATGGTCAAAATGAAATACCGTCTCTGGTCCCTCTTTCAGGATGAGATCCTCCAAATTCTTAGCTAATCTGCTTGAGAATTCTTCCTCTGTCTCACCTGAAACATGGAAGCATGCTATAATAAAAATGTATTATTTTAGAAAGCATCACAGGAGTCGCAGAAGTAATATAGCAACCTGGAAGATGATAACGCCAGTAATGAGGGCAGTCAGTGTGCAAGACAAATGGAGCGGGAAGATCAAACTTTTGGTGCAATGCTGGAAGTCTGTAATTTGTATCTATGAGTTAATGGTATTAAGATTTTCATAATCAAACACTAGTTGAGCAAGCTTATAATTCTTTTACCCAGAAAGACTGGCTGATATCAAAGTTGAACCATGGTAACTGCCAATATGCAATTTTCAATGATTAGTAATTGAGATCATTGCCAAAATGCAATATTTGTATGATTAGTAATTAGGATTAATGCCAAAAAAGAAAAGGCAACAATAAAAAGATCACTAGTTTTTTAGTTAAACATACGATTTTGCACGGGCTATAAATTTCTTCTTATTTGGTCTTCCAAGAGCATTGTTATAGTACCAAACTAGCTTCACCTACAAATTAAATCGGTAAAGAATTATCAAGAAAAAATTATAGTGTTTCTTTTGGTAATCAAAAAAAAATGAAAGCACAGATATATTATCAGCATCACCATTAACATTCTTAATAAACATCAAATATAGCAATACGAAAGCATGATTCTGATATGACATCCAAGTTTACTTTGCTTATTCAAATTCTTTTATACTTGATAAAACCATCAGCAATTTGATGCTTAGATATTATAATCGGAGTCATCAAACAAACATGGGAGCTTGGACAACAAACTGAATTTACAATCTTTTCTATTCCAATAATTTATGTGTCATTAAATGGAAAAACTTTGAATCTTTACATGATAAAAAAATTATGGTGATATCTTACATGCTTCTATTTGCAATTTTTTTTCTTCTTAACACCTTAAGTGTCTTGAACTTAAGCTCAGATGCAACATCATCAAGATTGCTAAAAAGTTAATGGAAAAACAACTAAGAAATGAAAGTATCAGCAACAGCCGTCATAGTAGTAGTACAACAATGGCAATAAAAATAACAGGAGTATCATGAGAACTTAAGCTCAAATGCAACATCATCAAGATTGCTAAAAATTTAATGGAAGAACAACTATATAAGAATCGAAAGTATCAACAGCAGCCATCATAGTAGTAGTACAACAATGGCAACAACAATAGCAGAAGTGCTTATGAATAATAAGTAAACCTGAGTGTCATTAGCTTCTGATCCGCTATTTGTAAAGAAGGCTTTTGCCATTTTGCTTGAAGTAAAAGTTTCTAGAAGTTCCTTTGCAAGATCCTGTCAAATAAGTTAACATCCATTAGAGAGCAATTTCAGAAGAAAGCTATCAAATATTTTCTGATGACTTACACTAGTGTCCATTAGAGAGAGCATGTAGCAAGATGTTCATTGATCAAGCATTATCAATTAGTTAATCAAAAATCTTACTAAGGAAGGGAACATGAGATTAAAATTATAAAATATGCTTAAATTCAAGGATTTAAACCAACATGAAACAAATAATAGACTATGTGAATACCAAAGAGGGTTTTGTTGTACGATTCCAAAAGGAGTGGTAAAATGGTAACTTATGCAATTGTTCTGTTGCAGCAGCCACAAGCCGTGGTTCACTTCCCCCTGCAGACAGACAAGATTAAATCAGCAAATGCTTCCAATTTTTTCCACCCACAAGTACATAATGAGACCTAGTTTCAGTGGGGACACTATGCTATTCTAGGCTCTAGCCAATTGTGATGCCTTCTTATAAAACATGAAATGCAACTACTTGTCACAATTTAATTTTCGCAGATCTGAAAAGAAGAAATGAATAAAGAGCGTGAATTGCAAGAAAGTGTGTCTGAATATTCACAATCATTCAGTATCAACCATCTTACAGATTGAATAAAGTATTATGATATGAATTCATGATGGTGCTAAATTTTATATCATTTTATAAATGCCTTGGCTAATAATCATATCCATATCATTTTTTATCGGTCAATAGACGTTTAGCACAATACATGTCCCAGAATACATGCCTTGGCTAATAATCATATCCATATCCCATCTGGTAAAATCTTTCCAAAAAAATAGTCACTCTGTCTCATTTTTTATTTGTGCAGTTGGCCAATATGCAGTTCTTTTTTATCATTTTTTTAGTTTATGTTCTAGGTCATTTTAAGCCTTTTTCTATTTATTTTAATTTGGTTTGTAAATAATAAATTTGAAATATCTAATCAATAGAGGAAAGATGAAACTGGGGACATACTTTTGAAAGAAAAACTTTAAACAGCAGGATTAGACTTGCCTAGACTTAGTATATGGGCCCACCCATGGACCAAACTAATCAAAAAAGAGATTCTTTTAAAATTTTTGCCACTTTATCCTTTTTATCGCAATAATAGATAGAAATATCCTCGTTTCAACAAAATTTTATTTTTCATTAATTTGGTCCACAGGTGAACCCATAGAATGGGTCTAGGTAAATGAATTCCAGAACAGGATATGACTTGGATGGCAAGAGAAAGATTAACTTATATGAAACATGCTTATAAGAATTGTTCAATGTCAATAAAGAGCAAGTACCCTGCTGGCCCCCTTTTTTCACCTACAATTTCCTTCACTTTATACCATAGAGGCTCTTACCGTCTATTCAATTCATAATTTGAAGATTCATAATGTACATGCAAAGTGTCCAAGCAATTAGCTAGCCAAACAATAAAATCATATCAGCTCTCTTTAGATACTTTCTTGTTGATATTTTCATGAGTAGAGATTGACATAGAATATACTTTGAGATTCTAGGACCTATTTAAATTTCTTTAAAGAACAGATTTTCAGCCCTTCTATTAATCCATTTCAACTGATCAAGTGGATTCAAAATGTCATCATCAGATGATAACTGAAACAACTTGTAAGTGCAACAACCATAAAAAATTCAAGACAAACAAAGGAATGACAATAAATGGTGCTCTATGAGGAAGAAGAGATGAGAAGGTATTATCATTACCCAAAGCAGTGCACCAAAGACCAGCAAGAGAATCAAGATACTTCTTCCCATTAATGTCATAAACATAGCTACCCTAGAAAAATTGATCAAGTTCCAGTTAGTTATGCAGCTAAGAGGAGAAAATTCTATAGATTAGTAAAAAGAAGCATTTTGTAACCAAAATACAACAAATGGCAATCAAAGAATTTAAAAGAATATTTTACCTCAGACTTATCTATGACGAGAGGATGCAAATCAGTACTCTGCCACCCAGCAGTGAAAGGTGCCAACATATCATGCCCCTTATAACTGTAATAATCAAGAGCTATTAGCTACTGTCCAAGTCCTTGATTGAACTCCTTCCACAAACATAAAAATGATGCGATTAATCATATACATAACTGCAATTTTGCGAACTATGTTGATGTCAGAAAAGAACAAGTCACAGGTGGAGAAGAAGAGAGAGGTATGAATCATAACCGTAGAAACACAACTTACCCTCTACCATCCCTCGAATCAGTCGTTGAGTCATCCTTTTGCAAAGATGCCTCTGTGCCATACAATTTGGCCAGGCATGGAGCCGAAGCAAGATGCTTCTGTGAACTGCCAGAAGCTGCAACATGTTTGCTGTGTGAACCAAGCTAAAACACAGAGGAAAAAAAACATGCATGAAAAAGCCATTAACAATGACTAAAGAAGCTTACTGAGCAAACAAAAGATTCAAAGTTCGTTTGAACAGCCTGCAAAATTACTCAATTATCAATGGATCAATTTGTGTGACAAGGTAGATATACGCACAAATACTTGAAATAAATTTGCACTTGTATCAATGTTGCATAACTACAAAATCAACTCTACAACAGCTGAGGAAGTAATTTTATTTCCACGAATATATTAACTACTGCATTGAACATGCAGCACTCAATGTATAAATAAAAATAAAATCTCTTGAGCATTAGGCGAAAATGCAGTTCTTGGAATTAAATAAGAAAGGGATTTATGACCAGAGTTTATCACTCTCCCTTGACAGAAACAACTGCAGATCCACAAATTTATTTTTCAAAAGTAAAAACAGAGTAAATACCAAAGGCCGTCAGCCAAGCCAATATTATTCATTTGGGGATTCTTTAAAAATAATGTAACCAAAAAAATAAATAAATAAATAAATAAAACACAATATCCATTCACTATTCCTCAAGCATTTCCTCACCAACCAGACAGAACCTCAAAACTGAAGATTGTAAAACTACATCAATATAATAAAAAATTGTCAATCTTCCAATTTAAATACTACTCCTAGATTAAAAAGAGAACAAAGAAACATTATATTAATGGTCTTGAAAAGACACAAAGGGGGAAAAGAAGCAAACAAGAATAATAATCTGTCTGTCCCAGAAGGGTAATTCTGTTTTCACTTCTTTAATAAGATTCACTAAACAAAATAAGAAAAACATTAAGGAACATATTCATATGATCCGCAAAACTAGGAACACCAAGCTTTCAAAGAACATGCAAAAAGAAAGAAAAAAAAAATTTGCAATGACGGAAAATTGATATTTCAAGAATTAAAGATACCTGGTTTTTGAGAGTGGATCGAAGGATTTTGTTGATGACCATCTTTGTTTTTGTTATTAAGGTTCAACTAAACAATCCAAGAAGAAAAGAAGTTGTATGAGTTGCAGAGAGTGAGCGATTCAGACGACTCTTTGATTGGATTTATATTGCTGACACAGTTAACGCTTAATTGCTAAATGATAGCATTCCTTTTTGAATATTATTAGACAAGTGGGCCAAGCTGCCATGGAATATCGAGGTTCCACTGCTCCAATTTAACTTTATTTTGTCTGCCTTGCATATGACTTATTAACTTATTAATTATTATTATTATATCATTAATAAGAATGATTCCGTTATAAGTAATTCTACTTTTTTGCGTTACAAACAGTGAAGAACAATATATATTTAATTAGTTATTAATGTTATCATTAATAAAGAAATGATTCCGTTATAGAGTAATTCTACTTTTGGTTGCGTTTACAAACAGTGAAGAACAATATAATATAATATATATATATATATTAATTAATATATCTATATAAGACGCCATCGGCGTTTTTAACTTATTATTAAATGTCTGTTAAATTATAGACGCGTGTTTTTAACTTATTATAAATTCTAATTTTTCAAAAAAAAAATTACTTTCACATGGAAGCAATTGATTCTTTTAAATTATAATAAAACTAAATGTAATTTGACCAAATTATTTTTTATCTTAAAATTAGAAGTGATTTTCAAAATAGTTATTGTATTTAATATAAATAAGGATATGATTAAAAAAAATGTATGATTTCTTAAAAGACTCAAACTAATTTATATTTTGGAACAAATCAATAATTTTAAAACGACTTATATTTAGAATCGAGGGTGTAATAAAATTAATCCAATACACTCCTAAGAGTATTTAACCAAATTATTATTTATCTTAAAAAATAGTAACTATTTTAATTGTTAATTAAATGTAATTTAGTTTATTTTTTCACCTATATGAGGAATAATAAGAGGTTTCAAATTCGAGTTGAACTAATTAATTTTGTGGTAATAAAGGTTTAAATAGTTTACACTTTACCGGCTAGATTCACTCCCTACGTTTTTTTTTTTTTTTTTTTTTTCGTTTTTTTTTTTTTTTTTTTTTTTTATTTTCTATATTATTGTCCCACTTCCTTTTTTTTTTTTTTTTTTTTTTTTTATTTTTCTATATTATTGTCCCACTTCCTTTTCTAAAAATAGATCATTTAATGATATATACTTAAACTTCTTTTTTTTATTTCCTATTCAATAAATATAGTATTTTAATATTCCATAATTAATAATTTTTAAATAAAATAGTACTCTTTCTATCCCAAAATATAAGTCGAAATATAATTCGTTTGCACGGAATTAAGAAAACAATTGATTCTTCTAAGTTAAAATAAAATCAATGATAATTTGACCAAATTATCCTTTATCTCAAAATCACTAATAACTCATCAACATAGTTATTATTAGTAATACTCTCCGTTTTATTTTAATAGCAACATTTGCTCTTCTCATAAGAATTAAGAAAATGATTTGAATTTATTGATTTTCTAAAAATACATGGTAGAATATCTAAATTGTCCTTCTTCAATATAAATATAAAAAAAATTATACCTAATAAAGATAAAATTGTAAAAAAATAGTTAATAGTCTCAAAATCATAAATGAGCACTTAAAGTAAAACAGTGTAAAATCCCTATTTGTTGCTATTAAAATAGAACGGAGGGAGTATAAATAAAGGTAACATTAAAAGTTTATTATTTGTTACTCCTTAAAATACTTAAATCAACTTATATTTTAGGACAATACAATCACCCAAAAATACTTCTCTTTTGAGACAGAGAGAATATATATAAAAATTTTTAAAACAATCCAATTAATCAACTATCACAACCCATCTCCGCGGGCTGGACCGGCACTAGACCCGTTTGGGCTTAAGACCCTCGAAGCCCGTAGTAAGCCTATATTAGTTAAACTCATATTCTATTCATAAATGTGGCTTCAGGCCCAATAATTTATTTCACCAATATATTTAAACTCATATATTCTCTATTCATTAAATGTGGCTTCAGGCCCAATAATTTTATTTCACCAAATTAATAGCAAAAATTACAACTACAGGTAAATATTTAATATACGTGCTTCTTATTTATCCAATATACAAACAAAACAAAATAAAGGGGAAATACAATTGGCGAAACTCCAGTTTAATCTTTAAAGTCCCTTAAACATTTCATGGCCTAACACAACTATGGACAAAAGTTTCTAGTTTTTTCGATTTATTTCGGACTCAGTCAGGGTCCATAGGACTCTTCTCTTCTTTCTTATTACCTAAAAAAAAAAAAAAAAAAAAAAAAAAAAAAAGATAGGAGGCAGGGGTTAGCGTCAAACTCAATGAGTAGGGTTAGATAACTTTCTCACCCCACACAATCACACATATGCTATAATAAATCAATTTAGTCCTCCAATTAGTTATATGATCATGCAATTTGTCACACAAATGGCAATACAACAGCAATCACAATTATTATCATCTTCATATAATCACCTCACGTGGAAATTAGTCAGTGGCATCACCGAAACCCCAACAAGCCATCCTCTCACATGGCTCGCCCTCTCATACGTGTGCACCAGGGAGCCGATCCCCCATACCTGGCCGACCGGTCTAATCTTCACTTGACCAGCCCTCTGCAGCCCTTCATTTTGTGACCAGCCCTCTCATTGTTTTTTCATTCTCTCTTTTCTTTTCCATACCATCAGAAGGCCACCCTATGGTTTATCCATATTATCCATATCATATCATCAGGTGCACACGGGGGCGCTAATCTCTCATATAGCCAACGGTCTTGTAGACCGCCCTCACAAACCCACGGTGACCCATTTCATCCCAATTCCACACAAACAAGACACAACAATATCACAACACAGGTAATCAAGCAAATTTTAATCGCAAAAATAGTGCAGCACAATATAGCAATTTAACAAATGCATGATAACATTTAGCCGTGAATGCATGAATGCAAAGATGCAGGTGTATGATGCGAATTATCTAACAATACTCATTGTTCTTTATGGTCCTTTAAAGGACTATCTTTATTACGCTTTCGCTTACCAACTTTCTTTTCTTCAACATTCCGAAACCTTATTATAGCATCTAAAATTGAATAAGAAACAATTCTAAATAAGAATTCTATTCAAAAAATGTATTTCACATTCCATTATTAGTTTGGGTTACTAGTTACTATAAACTAACTTACCTCAGAAATCTAAACGTACAATAACTATATATACTATTATATACTATACCTACTTTAATATATTATAATGAATATACTACTAGTGTTTCCTTTAATTATTGTATTTAGTTCTACTTTATTTGGGTACGTAATTAATAAATAATAATACTAAAAGTTTTAGTCGTTAACACCTTATTAAGGATAGTGCAACTAATTTAGTGTCTTTATTTAAAATTTAGTTCTTTATTAAGTGTTTTGCCGAAAATTCGGCATCATTTTCTCTATAAACTAGACTATCCAAATTTTATACATCGCACACATCAACACACAGCCCATCCATCGGGCAAATTCTTAATCAAAGCCCATGCTCTGTTATGTCCTCATTAAATCAACTTGAATTAATTTATCCACACCAGTATTTAATTCCAACTCAAAGCAAAGGTATTTTCACGGATTTAGTTCATTCCATGATAATGTGTATATACTTAATTAACCATTTTTATTAAAATACTTAACTTCCCATTAATCTCTTTTTAGCACTTAAGGTACCAAAAGTAATATTCTTACCCCATAGCAATCTAGGTTCTTAAATTTTTGATTAAATTCTTGATTTGTATACACCAAGTTAAAGTAGGATGTTCTAACTAATTAAGAATCTTTTTATTTAATGCTCTGATTCAAATAATTATAAATATAGGAAATAAATTAAAATGATTGTCTAATATGGAAAAATGCATGAATTGGGGTATAAAGGTTTACCAATTGAAATTGGATATCACAATATTCGAGATCATGACGTGAAGAGGAAGAAGATTCTGCCTTTGGAGCCTCACCAGAGCGTCGCCTGGCCGGGTCACGAAATGCCGCCAGGCGGGCCGCGTGCATCGATGGTTGGAAATCGAGACATCGTCACCAAATATTGACAAAACAATACATCATTTTAATATGCGTTTCAATGAGAGGATCACATAATATGTGTTCAAATCAAGGTGGGTGTGAACCATTTGGCCGAAAATTGGCCGAAAAGGTTTGGTGGTACCCATTTTGGGTTTTCTGATTCCGGCTATATCAGTCGGCGAGAAGGCCATCAAATGAAAGAGAGAAAAGAGAGGAGTCAATTGACACCTACCTTGACACCTCAAGTCACCGAAAACGGTGGGAAATTGCCAGAGAAGTTGCTACAATGGTGCCGACTGTTTCGATTGAGATTTCTCTCAATCAGGGCTCAAATCGCACAAACCAAGGCTTGAATCAAACTCCTTGCGACGAGTAGATATTTTTAGAGTATTTATTTGCCAGAATTGGTGACCGACGGTCGGAGAACGAGAAGAAAAGGGAAGGGGAACTCCTTCCGACGAGGTAGATTTTTTAGAGTATTATTTGCCAGAGATTGGTGACGCGACGGTCCGGAGAAGCGAGAAAGAAAAGGGAAGGGGGGGTTGTTTGAGAGAGAATAGAGAGAGAGATGACGCTGAGTTTCTCTCTTTTCTCCCTTTCTCTCTTTTTTCTTTCTAGAATTTTCTAATCTGGTTGATGGGATTTGGGTCGATTCGAAGTCTGGTGGTTCCTTGCGACGAGTAGATATTTTTAGAGTATTTATTTGCCAGAATTGGTGACCGACGGTCGGAGAACGAGAAGAAAAGGGAAGGGGGGGTGGTTTGTTGAGAGAGAATAGAGAGAGAGAGACGCTGAGTCTCTCTTCTCCTTTCTCTCTTTTTTTTTTCTAGAATTTTCTAATTGGTTGATGGGATTTGGGTCGATTCGAGTCTGGTTTGGTTTAAATCATGATTTTAGCTTGATTTTTCAATTGATTTATGGATTTTTCATCTGGTTTTCGAAAAATTCAAGCTGGTTAACGGGTCCGATTTTACAACAATTAAATATTTCTTGTAAATCCTCATTGGCTGATTTTAAAATTTAGTTTTTAAATGAAACTTCTATGAAA